GCTGCTGTAGCACTGTCAGCTGCTGCTGTAGCACTGTCAGCTGCTGCTGCTGCTGCTGCTGAGCACTGTCAGCTGCTGCTGCTGCTGTAGCACTGTCAGTGCTGCTGCTGGTGATGCGCTGTGCATGCAGCTGCTGCTGTAGCACTGTCAGCTGCGCTGCTGCTGTAGCACTGTCAGCTGCTGCTGTCTGCATGCTGCTGTAGCACTGTCAGCTGCTGCTGTAGCACTGTCAGCTGCTGCTGCTGTAGCAATGTCAGCTGCTGCTGCTGTAGCACTGTCAGCTGTGCTGCTGCTGTAGCACTGTCAGCTGCTGCTGCGTAGCACTGTCAGCTGCTGGCTGCTGTAGCACTGTCCCGCTGCTGCTGCTGTAGCACTGTCAGCTGCTGCTGCTGTAGCACTGTCAGCTGCTGCTGCTGCTGTAGCACTGTCAGCTGCTGCTGCTGCTGTAGCACTGTCAGCTGCTGCTGCTGCTGTAGCACTGTCAGCTGCTGCTGCTGTAGCACTGTCAGCTGCTGCTGCTGTAGCACTGTCAGCTGCTGTGCTGCTGCAGTATGTAGCACTGTCAGCTGCTGCTGCTGGTAGCACTGTCAGCTGCTGCTGCTGCTGTAGCACTGTCAGCTCGCTTGTAGCACTGTCAGCTGCTGCTGCTGCAGCACTGTCAGCTGCTGCTGCTGCAGCACTGTCAGCTGCTGCTGCTGCAGCACTGTCAGCTGCTGCTGCTGCAGCACTGTCAGCTGCTGCTGTAGCACCGTTGTTGGTGTGGCTTATTGAGAATACCAAGAAACAATTAACCCCAGAGGGTTTGCCACCCAGGATAACCCAAAAAAGTCAGTGTCATCGAAAACTGTCTAACTTATTTCCATTGGGGGCCTTGATCTTGTCTCCCAGGATGCAACCCACACCAGTCGACTAACACCCAGGTGAACAGGGAAAAATGCCTGGAACTAGTGCTCATATTGGTGAATTTAAAGCCAGCAAAGGTTGGTTTGAGAGATTTAAGAATCGTAGTGGCATACACAGTGTGATAAGGCCTGTTCTGGAAGAAAATGCCAAACAGGACCTACAGTACTCAGGAGGAAAAGGCACTCCCAGGGCACACTGTCTCATCAGTCATTCCTGCATCTTCAATAAAGGTAAGTGTCATTTATTCTTCATTTAGTAGAGTAGTACATGCACAATATATATTGTGCATGTACTATTCTACTATTGTGCATGTATCCTTCTCTTTGTGTGTAGGAAAATGTATATTTCATGTGGTAAAATTTTTTTTTTCATACTTTTGGGTGTCTTGCACGGATTAATTTGATTTCCATTATTTCTTACGGAGAAAATTCATTCGCATAACGATAATTTCACATAACAATGAGCTCTCAGGAACGGATTAATATCGTTATGCGGTCTCCACTGTATACACACACACACATACACACACATATATACACACATATATATACACACATATATATACACACATATATATACACACATATATATACACACATATATATACACACATATATATACACACACTAAATAATATATATACACATAACACACACATATACACACATATATATACACACATATATATACACACATATATATACACACACATATATACACATATATACACACATATACACATACACACACACACATATATACACATATATACACATATACACACATATACACACATATATATACATACACATACACACATATACACACACATACACATACACATGCATACGTACACATACACACACGTACATATACATGCATGCTGGCATACTCATTGAGACAGTGGTGACCCAAAAGAGAAATGCTTGAACCATCATTCAGACTATCACTGTCTTTGTGGAGGAACAGATACGACAGTTTAGGTATCACTAAACAGCAAATATTCCAAACCCCCTTCTTTAAAGTGCAGGCATTGTACAATGCCTGCACTTCAGCTCTGTATTACCATACATTTAAGACATAGATGAAATTAAGACATTAATTACTGAATGTAATTTTTTTTTTTGGGGGGGGGGGTTACCATGCCTAGGTGGGAGATGACTGGTGTTGAAAAAAAAATATTGCTTTAATAAAATCTGTTGGGGTATTAATGTACAAGGGAATAATCTAGAGAGATGTACACTCAAAATTATCTATGTATAGATTAGTTACAATAGTACCAGGCTAGGTTTGAAGCTGGCATATCAGTGGCTTAAGACATTCATAACCAAGACAGATCAATGTTTGTAGAATAACTAGCAGTCAGACATCAGAAGCCTGACTGTGAGGGGCTTAAAACACTCGTATTCTCAGGTGTCATGGTGATTACTGTACCTCCTAATTGTGTACATTTGTTATCACCATATCCTACCCACACTTTAAGCTCATGGCTATTTTCTAGCTTTTTCTTTTTTCACATGGTTTCAGCCTTTTCTTCGATCTTAGTCTAACATACCTCATCATAACTTCATTCATCAGTTCTGTATTATAGTTTGGGTTTGAGTTTTATGGTATCTACCATAGGTTTGTAGACAACCATCTAGGAAGGTACTACCATTCTGTCATAAGAATGAGACAGAAACTTGTTAAATGTTTTCTCTGGCAGAATTTTTTTTTATTTTGTAATCTTGTATTTTAGAATGTTTTTTTTTTTTTTTTTCATTATGTATATTTACATAATGTTTAATTTAAATTTAGTTGACAGTAAACCAGGGAGTTGAATTTGGTTAAGTACAGTATAAGAGTTACTTAGGTAGCATAAAACAGAAATACAACGATTTTTTTTATTCTAGATCCAATCATAAATGAGGAGATATTTGAAAATGTGAAGGAGCTAGATGACTTATAGTAAATAATGCTCCTTCATATTAGGCAAGATAGAATTAATTGTACAATAAAGAAAAGTGTAGTTGTTTACTTTATTGGAATTGGCTACAGGTGAACTGTTAACCCTTTGACTGTCGCGGCCGTATATATACGTTTTACGAGGTGCCGTGTTTGACGTATATATACTCATAAATTCTAGCGGCTTCAAATCAAGCAGGAGAAAGCTGGTAGGCCCACATGTGAGAGAATGGGTCTGTGTGGTCAGTGTGCACCATATAAAAAAAATCCTGGAGCACGCAGTGCATAATGAGAAAAAAAAACTCCGACCGTTTTTTTTTAATTAAAATGCCGACTTTGTGGTCTATTTTCGTATAGTATTTATGGTTGTATTCTCGTTTTCTTGGTCTCATTTGATAGAATGGAAAACATATTACAGAAATAGAGGTGATTTTGATTGATTTTACTATAAAAAGAACCTAGAAATGGAGCTCAAAGTAGGAGAAATGTTTGATTTTTGACGATGTTCAAAAGTAAACAAATGATGCCATTGTCCAATAAATGTCCAACTAGCCATTCTAATATGCAGTCATGAATGGGTTGATGTTATTTATACAGTTACTACAGCATTGCAGTAGTCTGCATAATAGTAAGTCTAATATTTTTTGTTTGAATAAAAATTCAAAATAGAAAGCAAGAGTAATATCAGAAGGGCCTGGAGACGTGACTGATGAACAAAGAAAATGTTATTTTAGAGCCAGGAATGTCTGCATTGTTCATTCTGGACCTTATTTTGAAATTGTCATATTTTTTAGTTTTCGTGAAATTGGCCAAATTGCAAATTTCTGACCACATTATTAGGTAGTTGAAATCAGTAAATGGGCAGTTTCTTGTATTCAATCGATAGAAAAAATGAAGTTCTAAAGAAATAGCTATGAGTTTGGGCGACTGAAACAATGGAATTAGCCGAAAATAGGGCTCAAAGTGGGCGAAATCGCCGATTTGTAAACAGCGCCGAGGTCGCTAACTTCGCGAGAGCATAATTCCGTCAGTTTTCCATCAAATTTCGTTTTTTTGGTGTCATTACAATCGGGAAAAGATTCTCTATCACTTCATAAGAAAAAATAATTTTTTTTTTTTTTTTAAATTTTGCGACACCAGGAGACACCTCAGGATTGGGGGTTGCGACAGTCAAAGGGTTAATTGTAGCTCTCATGTGAGTATCCAAGGTGAACAGAGATGTGCACAAGAGATAATTTGGAAAAAGATTAATATTGTGTAATATCAAGGTTTTAATTCTGTGCATCAGAGAATAACTTCCATAGTTAATGAGTGCCAGATTGTTTAGCATTCAAGCTCCTCTCTTCTATGTGCAGGTTATTTGAATAGTGTATCTTTTAATAATCATACATTTGTAATATTACCATAAGTTACAGACTCTTACCTGCATTTTGTAAGCATTTGTGTAATGCTAAAAATCAAGAATTCTTCAGTGTCGGTAAGAAAAGGAGAGATTTATAGAAAATTACATTACTTGAGTAACTCCATGCATGCAGATATAATGAACACTTTATATTAATTTCTATGGGTTACATCCTTGTAAGGAATATTTCCACCACACGGTTTGTGGAAGGCATGTGGTACATGACTAAGGTTCCACTAAACAGTTACATGTGTCTTAAGAAGTGGGACATTTTGGACACCTTGTATCTGTGAGGATATTATAAAGCATGAGTTGCCTCTTATATCACTGGATCGAGGGTAATATATTAATGGTGTTGCTTTTTCAATTATTCACACTGAATTTTATATACAGTGTATATTGCATGTTTGATGCCTGAGGCATTCACTGGTGTTGGCTTTAGACAACAGTAACTTTTTCTTTATGTAGATTTTTCAGTGCTTTACTAGATCTAGGTAACAAAAGCAACAGGATTTATTTTTAGCAGCAGAAATCTATTATATAATGGATAATTGAATGGCTTGCTAATGTGTGTAATAATGTTCTACAGCTACTATGTAAGAGTCTCTTTTTGACACTGTATTTAAATGTTAATTTAGTGAAATTGTTTAATTTGCCTTGGTATTAGAAAAAATTTAAAAAGGGTTTGGTTTATAGTTTTAATACAGTATCATTAAAGAGCATGGCACCCATCTTTTATTATTTTCCTTAGATATCAAGAGAGCTGAAAGTATGAAAGTTGATTTGAAGAAAGCCAAACGTACTCCAAGCTTCACCACTCGACGCAGAACACAAAGCTTCCGTAAACACAAGCGTATGGAAAACATGGCCAACTTGCCACCTGTAGAAATACAAGGATATCTCGAACGAAAGCAGGAATTACAGAGTGGTGGAAAAAAGGCAACCATCAGATCTTGGAAACTCTTTTACACAGGTCAGTATTAAGTTGAACTTTAAAAGTTGTAAATTATGACCACTTTGTGTGTTTAAAAACTTTCCTAGAAGAAGTGTCCTGGAAGTGAATGTCTACTTGAAAGCTCCAGTGCTATCCTAAATAGGCATTTAAATTTAAATGTAACGGCTAATGCACTTGTTCATAACTAGGAGTTCGTCTTCAATAATTTCTAAATTTTTAGGATAGTTGCTGTAAATTAACTTGCTACTAGGGAAACTGAGCCTAATGATGCAGGGTGTCAAAAAAGTCTAGACCAATAATGAAATGTATCCAATGGCAGGAAATGGCAGAAATCCTACACCAAATCCAGTCATTCCTGGAGTGGAACCACAGTCGATGGCCTCTACTCCAAACCAACCGATACAGATACTAATGCCGGAAAAAAAAGTCCCCCCCCACCCGGTACCACCAATACCATCAGTCCGATGACTTTCTTCCTTGCAAATATACAGGGTCTAAAGCCAGCAACGAACAACAAAATACCTTTCATCCGTGGACTGCTTGCAGAGGCAAATGCAATGTTCGCGGCTTTCACAGAGACCCACATAAAGGATCACTTGGACAACGAAATATGGATCCCAGGTTACAACCTATACAGATGCGACAGAGTGAACAGGCAAAGGGGGGGGGGGGGTTGGCCTGTATATTGCAGAGTCACTTGTTTACACAGAACTGCTTAATGCCTCAAATGATGTAGTGGAAGTTTTAGCAGTAAAGATCGAGAACCAAAACCTAGTCATTGTGGTAGTCTACAAGCCTCCGGATGCAATGCCCCAGCAATTCCAGGAACAGCTGTTAAAAATTGACCACTGTCTGGAAAATCTGTCAGCTCCTGCCCTCAACATCTTGCTCCTGGGGGATTTCAACTTAAGGCACCTAAAATGGAGGAATATAGCAAATAATGTTGTTGCAGTGATAACACCAGGAGGCAGCTCTGATGAAAACTAACACACACACACACACACACACACACACACACACACACACACACACACACACACACACACACACACACACACAAGCTTTTAAATCTGCACAAAATTCAACTTAAACCAGCAAATAATAGAGCCTACTAGACTGGAGAATACACTAGACCTCATCTTAACTAACAATGATGATCTGATACGAAATGTCACCATATCAAAAACATACTCAGATCACAACATAATCGAGGTTCAGACATGTATGCACGGAGCCCCAGACCGACAAAATGAGATTAGTCACGAGGGAGCCTTAACCAAATTCAACTTCAATAACGAGAACATAAAGTGGGACCAAGTAAACGAAGTCCTAACCGATATAAGCTGGGAAGATAGACTAAGCAACACAGACCCCAACTTATGCCTAGAACAGATTAACTCGGTGGCACTCGATGTATGCTCAAGGCTTATTCCTTTAAGAAAAAGGAGTAGTAGTTGTAAAATAGAAAGAGACAGGCGCTCCCTTTACAGGCGACGAAAAAGAATAACAGAGCGGCTAAAAGAGGCCAATATATCTGAAATGCATAGGGAGTCACTGGTCAGAGAAATAGCAGACGTCGAACTTAAGCTAAAGGAATCTTATAGGAGTCATGAATCGCGGGAAGAACTAAAAGCCATAAATGAAATCGAAAGAAACCCAAAGTATGTATTTCTTTTCCTATGGCAAATCAAAGTAGAGAACAACGTCCAGTATTGGGCCCCTACTTAAGCAAGATGGGTCCTACACAGATGACAGCAAGGAAATGAGTGAGCTACTCAAGTCCCAATATGACTCAGTTTTTAGCAAGCCGCTAACCAGACTGAGAGTCGAAGGTCAAAATTAATTTTTTATGAGAGAGCCACAGAATTTGGTTAACACAAGCCTATCTGATGTTATCCTGATGCCAAATGACTTTGAACAGTTGATAAATGACATGCCCATGCACTCTGCCCCAGGGCCAGACTCATGGAACTCCGTGTTCATCAAGAACTGCAAGAAGCCCCTATCACGAGCTTTTACCATCCTATGGAGAGGGAGCATGGACAAGGGGGTCGTCCCACAGTTACTAAAAACTAAGACATAACCCCACTCCACAAAGGGGGCAGTAAAGCAATAGCAAAGAACTTCAGACCGATCGCACTAACATCCCATATCATAAAAATCTTTGAAAGGGTCCTAAGTAGCATGATCGCCACCCATCTAGAAACCCATCAATTACACAACCCAGGGCAACATGGGTTTAGAGCAGGTCGCTCCTGTCTGTCTCAACTATTGGATCACTTTGACAAGGTCCTAGATGCACTAGAAGACAAAAAGAATGCAGATGTAATATATACAGACCTTGCAAAAGCCTTCGACAAGTGTGACCATGGCGTAATAGCGCACAAAATGTGTGCTAAAGGAATAACAGGAAAAGTTGGTAGATGGATCTATAATTTCCTCACAAACAGAACACAAAGAGTAGTAGTCAACAGAGTAAAGTCCGAGGCGGCTACGGTGAAAAGCTCTGTTCCACAAGGCACAGTACTCACTCCCATCTTGTTTCTCATCCTCATATCTGACATAGACAAGGATGTCAGCCACAGCACGGTGTCTTCCTTTGCAGATGACACCCGAATCTGGATGACAGTGTTTTCCATTGCAGACACTGCAAGGCTCCAGGCGGACATCACCCAAATCTTTCAATGGGCTGCAGAAAACAATATGAAGTTCAATGATGAGAAATTTCAATTACTCCGATATGGTAAACACAAGGGAATTAAAACTTCATCAGAGTACAAAACAAGTTCCGGTCACAAAATAGTGAAAAACCAACGTCAAAGACCTGGGAGTGATCATGTTGGAGGATCTCGCTTTCAAGGACCATAACATTGTATCATTCGCAGCTGCTAGAAAAATGACAGGATGGATAATGAGAACCTTCAAAACTAGGGATGTCAAGCCCATGATGACACTCTTCAGGTTGCTTGTTCTATCTAGGCTGGAATATTGCTGCACACTAACAGCACCTTTCAAGGCAGGTGAAATTGCTGACCTAGAAAATGTACAGAGAACCTTCACAGTGCGCATATCGGAGATAAAACACCTCAATTACTGGGAGCGCTTGAAGTTCCTGAACCTGTATTCCCTGGAACGCAGGTGGGAGAGATGATTATATACACCTGGAAAATCCTAGAGGGACTAGTACCGAACTTGCACCCGAAAATCACTCGCAACGAAAGCAAAAGACTTGGCAGACGATGCAACATCCCCCCCAATAAAAAGCAGGGGTGTCACTAGCACGTTAAGAGACAATACAATAAGTGTCAGGGGCCCAAGACTGTTCAACTGCCTCCCAGCATACATAAAGGGGATTACCAATAGACCCCTGGCAGTCTTCAAGCTGGCACTGGACAAGCACCTAAAGTCAGTACCTGACCAGCCGGGCTGTGGCTCGTACGTTGGATTGCGTGCAGCCAGCAGTAACAGCCTGGTTGATCAGGCTCTGATCCACCAGGAAGCCTGGTCACAGACCGGGCCGCGGGGGCGTTGACCCCCGGAACACTCTCCAGAGGGTTTTAGGGGTCAATGCCCCCCCGTGGCCTGGTTTGTGATCAGGCGTCTTTGTGGATCAGGGCCTGATCAACCATGCTGTTACTGTTGGCTGCACGCAACCTGACGTACGGACCACAGCCCGGCTGGTCAGGTACTGACTTTAGGTGCCTATCCAGCGCCTTATTGAAGACAGCCAGGGGTCTGTTGGTAATCCCCCTTATGTATGCTGGGAGGCAGTTGAACAGTCCTGTGCCCCTGACACTTATTGTGTTCTCTTATCGTGCTAGTGGCACCCCTGCTTTTAATTGGGGGATGTTGCATTGTCTGCCAAGTCTTTTGCTTTCATGGTGATTTTTGTGCAAATTTGGTACTAATCCTTCTAGGATTTTCCAAGTGTAGATAATCATGTATCTGTCTTGCCTGCATTGTAGGAAGTACAGGTTGAGGAACTTCTAAGCGTTCCCAGTAATTGAGGTGTTTTATCAGTTATGCATGCCGTGAAGGTTCTCTGTACATTTTCTAGGCCAGCAATTTCACTTGCCTTGGAAGGTGCTGTTAGTATGTAACAATATTCCTAGTTAGAACAAGCAGCCTGAAGAGTGTCATCATAGGCTTAAAATCCCTAGTTTTGAAGGTTCTCATTATCCATCCTGTCATTTTTCTAGTAGATGCAATTGAAGGTGAGATCCTCTGACAGTATCACTCTCAGGTCTTTTACATTAGTTCCTCGCTCTATTGTGTAGTTGAAATTTGTTTTGTACTGCATTACAGTTTTAATTTCCTCACGTTTTCCATATCGGAGTAATTGAAATTTCTCATCATTGAACTTCATATAGTTTTCTGCGGCCCATTTAAAGATTTAGTTGATGTCCGCCTGGAATCTTGTGGTGTCTTCAATGGAAGACACTGTCATACAGATTAAAGTGTCATCTGCAAAGGAAGACTCGGTGCTGTGGCTTACATCCTTGTTTGTCAGATAGGAACAGGATGGGAACGAGTTCTGTGCTTTGTGGAACAGAGCTTTTCACCGTAGCCACCTGAGATTTTACTGTTTACTACCACTCTTTATGTTCTGTTTGTTAGGAAATTATAGATCCATCTACCAACTTTTCCTGTTATTCCTTTATCACAAATTTTGTGCGCTATTACACCATGGTCACATTTGTCAAAGACTTTTAAAAAGTCTGTGTATACTCCATCTGCTTTATGCTTGTCTTCTAGTGCATCCAGGACCTTGTCATAGTGGTCTAGTAGTTGGGACAGGCAGGAGTGACCTGCTCTAACCTATATTGCCCTGGCTTGTGTAACTGGTGGGTATCTAGATGGGTAGCAAAGATACAGCTTTTATCTAAAGTGAGATACAGTAGTTACACCAACTGACTACAAGTGCATCACATGTTCAAAATATTTCCCATACCTGGCTAAGTAAGATAAATTAGTGTTTTATTTGGCTGTCTAATAAAATTAGAAAACATATATGGGGAAAGGCTCTTGCCAGGTATTACCCCTGTTCACTTGCATTTGTCTGTATAACTGTAGTAACACGTAACACTTCAGAGGAGTTGAAGTGGGGCATTCACTTCATCAGTCCCCTCGAACATTGGCTTCACTTTTTTACTTTTACTACTTCATTATTCTGAAGAAAAAAGACAGATTTATATGTTCATTTACCTTGGATTAGTGGCATATTCAATAGTGTATAGCTGGATGCAGTATTAGTAAAGACGATGTTAAATATTAGTAAGCTAAAATTTGAAACCCAGCCCAAGAGGAGAGCATTTTTAAGTGTGATAGTCAAACATTAATGTATGATATTTTTCTCCATCTCACAGTACTCTGTGGACAGTTGTTGTGCTTCTTCAAGGATGAGGATGACTTCTATGACCAAAAGGCTGCCTCGCCACCTATTTCCATACATCAAGCTAAGATTGAGATAGCTGATGATTATACCAAGAAGAAACATGTTTTCAGGTACCTATCAGTTTTTTGTATTCAATAGCAGTTTATTAATAGGGACATCCATTATGTAAAAGAGTTAATTTTTCTTCATTATTAATATATTTTCTGCAATTTTGTAACATCTCCATAAAACAATGAATTGGCGTTAGGACAAATGAAGACTGAAAAGCGGCAGGCAATTAAAAGTTCCTTTTAAAATAGAATACAAGTTAGGTAGAGGTTTAATAAACTGTATACAGTAGGGCCTCTCTTTACGGTGTTTCGCCTTATGGCATTCCACTAATACGGACATCACAAATTATGACCAAAACTCGCTGTACAGCTCCCCCCACCTAACTTTCTAATAGTCACCACATCCCACTCGGTTTGTTTACATTCTCCGTTAGCTCCGTGAGCACCACATCTCTCCATTATGTCTGGAAACTTTCCAAAATTTCAAATATTTTAGTTATTTCGCGTTTCATTTCTTCTTCTTTCAACAAACCGGCCGTATCCCACCGAGGCAGGGTGGCTCAAAAAGAAAAACGAAAGTAGTGTTTCATAAATACTCTGATAATTATACTTGTCCTAGGTAGTAGGTTGGTAGACAGCAACCGCCCAGGGGGGTACTACTGTCCTGCCAAGTGAGTGTAAAACGAAAGCCAGTAATTGTTTTACATGATGGTAGGATTGCTGGTGTCCATTTTTTCTCATAAACATGTAAGGTTTCAGGTACGTCTTGCTACTTGCAAGAATTAATTAACATGATTAGTCATCATAAACGTGACTTATGGAAATTGCTAGTTCTAAAAGCTAATCATTATAAACGAGAGCCTGCAAAATTTTGGAGTAAGATTCGGCAACTTTTAGGTGCAAAACACAAGGCTCCTACCTACCTAATTCATACCTTCACTGATGATGATGATGATGAGGTTGAGATTAAACTTTATGATCCACAGGACCAGGATAATTTGATAGGTGATGTATGGGAGAAAGTTCTCTCCCACAATAACAGTCGTTGATTTAATAATAATCACTATCAGTTGGTCAATGAATGGAGAGATGAGAACTTAACTGATCTACAACCACTACCTACCATCGATACATCAACTCTTGAAGAGGCCTACCCGCTTACTAGACCTATCACACTACTTGAGATGAGTCAAGTTATTGGAAGAATGTGAAATAGAGCCCCTGGTCTTTCTGGAATAACAATGAAACACATTAAAGTTCCTACCCAGAAATTGCAAACAGTCTTTGGTTAATATCTTGAATGCCATCTTGGCCTCCGGACATTTCCCAGTGGTTTTTAAGACTGCTAGGATGATCTTTCTTGCTAAACCCAATAAAAATATCCATCAACCAGAAAACTGTAGACCTATATCCTTACTTGAAGTCACTGGGAAAGTTCTTGAAAAGATCATTTCTAACAGAATGAACTACTATATGAAGTTTAACCACCTTTTTACTGATAAACAGTTTGGCTTTAGGACACATAGAGGTACCCATCATGCAATAAATATTATTTTTGATACTGTAGCAAGTCTGAAACATCAGGACAATCTTGCCCTAATTGCCACCAGAGATGTTCATAAAGCTCTTGATAGCTTATGGCATGATGGTCTTATATACAAACTTACTGACCTACCTGACCATAACTGGACCTTTCTCAGATTTATATATAACCTCTTAACTCAAAGAAAAATCATTCCTACCTTTCATGGCAAGTCAACAGAGTCTTTTATACTGACAACTGGTGTCCCACAAGGTTCTTGTCTTAGTCCAGTTCTATTCAACATTTATGTGAATGATCTTCCTCAACCAGAGTTTAATGATAAAATTATAATGCAATTTGCAGATGATATTCTTGTCGTCTCATCAACTCCTGTAACAGGAAAATACAAATATGAAAGAGTCATAGAAAAAATGAACATTGAACTTTGTCGAACATCCAATTGGGAAAAGAAATGGAGAATTACGACTAACCCTGACAAAGTCCTGGTTAGCACGATAGGATGAAGATAAGGGGGGTATCTCCATCAGAGGTACACCTGTAGCCATTAGAAATCCTAACAAGATCTTGGGATATGAAATAGACAGGCTGCTCCACTCAACATCTCACGTCAGTGAAAAGATCAACATAGTCAAAGCCAGTCTTAGCAGTCTCTTTAGATTTAATCAAGCCCCTTCACATGTCAAAAAACATGTGTATAAAATGATAAGACCAATACTCGAATACCCATGTGTCCCAATGTCGTTAACAACAAAGACCAACATGCTAAAGTTGCAACGGGTCCAGAATAGAGCTTTCCGCTTTATTACGGGTGCCAGGAGGAGAGAGTCAAAATGGCAGATTTACATATACAACAGGGTATTACTGCCATAAATGTACGCCTTGATACGCTGAAGGAGAGAACTCTATGCAATGCAAGAACTCTACATACCAGATAGAGAACATCCTCTCCAAGTTGAAAATACCACTGACTATATCATTAATACTCCTCCTCACAGGACCCAAAGAATGACTCTCCCACAGAGGGTGCGTCGCTTCCTCCATAAAGACAATTACCATCGACCAATGATCTTGAGCAACCTCCCTGCAGATGAAGATGATTGAGTAACACCAGAACCCTTCTATGTCTACCAAGAAAATTATTGCCCCCAGTTAGGGAGACATCTTGTATAACACTTCTACTTCTACACCTACTGTTATAAATATGCTACATTTACTATGGCGGGACACCACCTTGAAAAAAGCTAACGTGTCAAGTAATTCTTTACGAATGTCCAGATTACCGCCTTGTCTTGTCATTTAAATATTCGTTATGCAATCGCAAAAAAAAAAAAATGCAATTGCAACTTGTATATATACTACCAATTCAGAGTCGTGTACCTATATATCTGTTATATCTATGTGACTGATGGGTTAGTATTATACCCCTTCAAGAATATTCTATTATTTCACATACACTATTTAAATTGCACCAAAGTGGTTGTGTCACTTACCTTTTATATCCTACCTCACTCCCCCCTCTCACCCTTTTCCAATATTTCTATCCTTACCCATCTTACCAAAGACTCTGGTCATAAGAATCCAATCCTCGCTACTTCTACTTACACTTAGGTCACACTACACACACACATATATATATATATATATATATACACACACTCCTCTGGGTTTTCTATTTTCTTACTAGTTCTTGTTCTTGTTTATTTCCTCTTATCTCCATGGGGAAGTGGAACAGAATTCTTCCTATGTAAGCTATGCGTGTTGTAAGAGGCGACTAAAACGCCAGGAGCAAGGGGCTAGTAACCCCTTCTCCTGTTTAAATTACTAAATTTAAAAAAACTTTTGTTTTTCTTTTTGGGCCACCCTGCCTTGGTGGGATACGGCTGGTTTGTTGGAAAAAAAAAAATTATACTTGTGTACCTGTGCTGGCATGCAGGTACACATTAAAATCACCAAAAGTGTCTTATTAGTCTTGAGGACACCATGTTAATAATAATATGCAATAATCACTCTGAGGTGCATTAAATGTTTTACATTACTTTAATATAAACATTTTATTTTTTTTTTCAACAAACCGTCCATATCCCACCAAGACAGGATGGCCCAAAAAGAACAACGAAAGTTTTAAATTTAGTAAAAATATTTTATTTAATTCATCTATATTTTCTCAAAATTGTATAATGAACATGCTACGTAACGTGTAAACATGATAAATATACCCTGCAGTAGAATAAATTAACATAAATGAGATGTTAAATGTAGATGAACATGTATGAATCAAATCCAGATGCATTCGTCTGCTTGTTTAAAGTCTCTCTCTCATTTACTCACCTATCACCCTACATAAAGACTACAAATATTTTAAGGTAAGTAATGAGTGTACTGTATATGCATTTTATCGTTCTGGGGCACTTTAAATGTCATAGTAGTATACATGTATTATGTGTGGGAGGGTGGCTCGGCTCGCTACTGTACTTCCCACACCTGACTTCTTACGATAAATACTAGTCACCTCTCGCCCTATATTGACTACAAATATTTTAAGGTAAGTAATGAGTGCACTGTGTGTGTCTTTTACTTTTTATTGTTTTTAATGTATAGTTCTATTGCTAACTTAATATGTTAGCGTAAATTTAACTGGCATTTATATGCATTTATAAATGGAAAAAATGATGTTCTGCTTTCTAGCAATGTCCACTTTCTGGCGGTAGCCTGGAACCTAATGTGCCATATAAGTGGGGCCCTACAGTAGTTGCAACAATATCTTTACTAACATTTGAGGAAGTGGATGTTAATTTTGTTGTACATTTAAATATTTTACAGAATTTATTAAATTTGTAGATATAATTAACATTGTTACGAAAATGATTTCCTGAAATAAGTAATTTTAAGTTGTAATTGCGGTACCTAGGAAAAAACTGATGAAACTTGTTTTATTCAATTGGATATTTTTTTGTATGAAACTAAATTAAATGATAAAAGTTAAATGATCGTAAGTTGCAATTGCAACATTCTTTAATAGCCAGAGAATTTTAAAAATGCATAGATACATAACTCAAAATTATTGGCTGTCACTTTTTTAAACAGAGTGATTACCCGGGACAATGCAGAGTATCTTTTTGTTACGGAATCTGAAGTAAACCTTGAAGAGTGGGTGACAAAATTAGGATTTCATGCCCAGTTACCACCATCAATGCAACTTATGTCATATGACAACCATAAGGTTTGTAATCTGTACCTGCTTGATTTATGGGTTAGAGAATAGAGATCAGTTGCACCAATCCTGCATGTAATAAAAAAAAAAGAGGGGGGAGGGGACAGTAAAGAGGTTGATTCATATATTATTTATATACACCCCAAAAATCCAGTCAGATTAATTCCCATAATTACTTTTGCATTGACCAAATTGTCAATTATGCTATTTAGGATTTTCTTTAAGCCACTTTTAAGACTAGTGTAGTATAATGTTGATTCTTGTGTAGTCAAAGTTCACTCTCGGTGTCACTGTAGATGATATAGAGATAAATGTTCTTGATTTGCATGATTTCTTGCTTTTGCACAGTCAAAAGAGTGACCAGACATTAGTGCATTTTTTTCCTTTTTTAAATGTTACTTTGGTCCTTCAGGGTAGAGGCAGTATTAATACTTATTTCTTTTATTTTCCATAAGCTGCTACAACCATTACAGGAATTGGGAGAACATATTTTTATTGGGATATATGTCTATCATCTTACAGTTTCTCTCAAGTTTCAAGATAGGCACCTATTAAAAAGGGGTAGCAAGGTTTTTTTAGTAAAGTTGTGGTGTTGTGTGTTGGTATGTTGTGTGTGTGTTTGTTTGTGTGGTGCATTGTGTGGTGTTGTTTTTTTTTGTAGTGTGTGTTGTTGGTTTGGTGTGTGTGTTGTTTTTGTTTGTGTTGTTGGTGTTGTGTGTGTGTTTGTGTGTTGTTGTTGTTGTGTGTGTTTGTGTGTGTGTGGTTGTGTGTGTGTTGTGTTGTGTTGTGTGTGTGTTGTGTGTGTTGTGTGTGTGTGTTGTGTGTGTGTGGTGTTGTGTGTGTGTGGTGTTGTGTGTGTGTGTGTTGTGTGTGTGTGTGTTGTGTGTGTGTGGTGTTGTGTGTGTGTGTGGTGTTGTGTGTGTGTGTGGTGTTGTGTGTGTGTGTGTTGTTGTGTGGTGTGTGTGTGTGTTGTTGTGTGTGTGTGTGTGTGTGTGTGTGTGTGTGGTGGTGTTGTGTGTGTGTGTGGTGTTGTTGTGTGTGTTGGTGTTGTGTTGTGTGTGTGTGGTGTTGTGTGTGTGTGTGTGGTGTTGTGTTGGTGTGTGTGTGGTGTTGTGTTGTGTGTGTGTGTGGTGTTGTGTTTGTGTGTGTGTGGTGTTGTGTTGTGTGTGTGTGGTGTTGTGTTGTGTGTGTGTGGTGTTGTGTTGTGTGTGTGTGGTGTTGTGTTGTGTGTGTGTGGTGTTGTGTTGTGTGTGTGTGGTGTTGTGTTGTGTGTGTGTGGTGTGTGTTGTGTGTGTGGTGGTGTTGTGTGTGTGTGGTGTTGTGTTGTTGTGTGTGTGTGTGGTGTTGTGTTGTGTGTGTGTGGTGTTGTGTTGTGTGTGTGTGGTGTTGTGTTGTGTGTGTGTGGTGTTGTGTTGTTGTGTGTGTGGTGTTTGTGTTTGTGTGTGTGTGGTGGTGTTGTGTTTGTGGTGTGTGTGTTGGTGGTTGTGTTGGTTGTGTGTGTGTGTGGTGTTGTGTTGTGTGTGTGTGTGTGTTTGTGTTGTGTGTGTGTGGTGTTGTGTTGTGTGTGTGTGGTGTTGTGTGTGGGGGGGTTGTGTGTGTGGTTTGTGTGTGTGGTTGTGTGGTTGGTGGTTGTGTGTGTGTGTGTGGTTGTGTGTGTGTGTGAGAGAGAGAAATTGTGTATGTACTCACCTAATTGTGGTTGCAGGGGTTGAGACTCAGCTCCTGGCCTGGCCTCTTCACAGATTGCTACTAGGTCCTCTCTCTGCTTCCTGAGCTTTCATACCTTGTCTTAAAGCTATGTATGGTTCATGCCTCCACTACATCACTTGCTAGGCTATTCCACTTCCTGATTACTGTGACTGAAGAAGTACTTCCTAACATCCCTGTGACTCGTCTGAGTCTTCAGCTTCCAATTGTGACCCCCTTGTTTGTGTCCTCTCTCTGGAACATCCTGTCTCTCCACCTTATCTATTCTACGCATTATTTTGCATGTTTTATCATGTCTTCCCTGACCCTTCTGTCCTCCAGTGTCGTCAGTCCGATTTCCCTCAACCTTTCTTTGTAGGACATTCCCCTGAGCTCCGGAACTAGCTTTGTTGCTAACCTTTGTACTTCCTCTGATTTCTTGATGTGCTTGACCAGGTGTGGGTTCCAAACTTGTGCTGCATACTCCAGTATGGGCCTGACGTACAGTGTCTTGAACGATTCCTTACTAAGGTATCGGAACACTATTCTCAGGTTTGCCAGGCGCCCATATGCTGCAGCAGTTATCTGGTTGACGTGTGCCTCCACAGACGTGCTCGGTGTTATGGTCACCCCAAGATCTTTTTCCTTGAGTGAGGTTTGCAGCCTTTGTCCACCTAGCCTTTACTGTCTGCAGTCTTCTTTGCCCTTCCCCAATCTTCATGGCTTTGCATTTGGCAGGGTTGAATTCGAGAAATCAATTGCTGGACCACGTGTTTAGCCTGTCCAGGTCTCTTTGTAGTCCTGCCTGATCCTCGCCCGATTTAATCCTTCTCATTAGCTTCACATCATCTGCAAACAGGGACACTTCAGAGCCTATCCCTTCCATCATGTCATTCACATGTATCAAAAATAGCACTGGTCCTAGGACTGACCCCTGTGGGACCCCGTTTGCCACGGGCGCCCACTGTGATACTCATCACGTACCATGACTCGTTGTTGCCTCCTTGTCAGGTATTCTCTGATCTATTGCAGTGCCCTTCCTGTTATACATGCCTGATCCTCCAGCTTCTGCACTAATGTCTTGTGAGGGAAGGTAGGCAGATGGATTTTCGGTTTCCAAACACACACAACACAAAAAGTAGTAGTGAACAGGGCAAGATCCAGCATCAGCGAGGTCAAAAGCTCAGTGCCCCAAGGCACTGTCCTGGCACCTCTGCTGTTCCTCATCCTCATAGCAGACATAGAAAAAAACACCTGGCACACTTTTGTATCATCATTTACAGATGACACTAAAATAAGCATGAAAGTCAGTATGGTAGAGGACACTGAAAAAGTACAGGAAGACATAAACAGGGTTTTCTAGTGGGCAGTGGAAAACATGACGTTCAATGGTGATAAGTTCCAGCTGCTTAGGTATGGAAAGAATGAAGAACTCAAAAGGAGCACTATATACAAACCTTAAGAGGGTCACCAAATAGAACGTAAGGAACACGTAAAAGCCCTAGGAATAATTATGTCAGCGGACCTTTCTTTTAAAGACCATAACAAAACAAAGATCACGACAGCCAGGAAGATGACGGTGTGGGTATTGAGAAATTTCAAAACAAGGGAAACAATGCTGATGGTGACACTCTTCAAATCGCTAGTGCTCCCTCTCTTAGAATATTGCTCAGTGCTGACGGCCCCGTTCAGGGCAGGAGAAATATCGGAGCTGGAACAAATAGAGATCGTTTACAGCTCACATTGAGCCAGTAAAGCACCTAAACTACTGGGAACTCCTGCAAGTCTTGAACAAGCCCTCGAGTACCTGGAAGGTACTTGAGGGCTTGGTCCCAAATCTGAACACTGCCATAACAACATACTGGAGTGAGAGATAAGGGAGGAAGTGTAAAATAAACCCAGTGAGAAGCAGGGGTGCAGTGGGGACAATAAGGGAACACTGTATCAACATTCGGGGTACCAGACTTTTCAACATCTGACCAGAAGATATCAGAAACACTGCTGGAACAAGTGTTGAAGCCTTCAAGAGGAAACTAGACAAGTATCTTCACCAGGTGCCAGATCAACCAGGCTATGATGGATATGTGGAGGCAGCAGGCCTCCAGCAGCAACAGCCTGGTTGACCAGATGAGCCTGGCCCATGCCCGGGCTCAGAGAGTAGATATACTCTTAAAATTCTTCAAAGGTACATCAAAGGTAAGTGTGTATTTGTGTGTGTGTGTATTTGTGTGTGTGTGTATTTGTGTGTGTGTGTATTTGTGTGTGTGTGTATTTGTGTGTGTGTGTTATTTGTGTGTGTGTGTGTATTTGTGTGTGTGTGTGTATTTGTGTGTGTGTGTATTTGTGTGTGGTGTGTATTGTGTGTGTGTGTGTATTTGTGTGTGTGTGTGTATTTGTGTGTGTGTGTATTTGTGTGTGTGTGTGTATTTGTGTGTGTGTGTGTATTTGTGTGTGTGTGTGTATTTGTGTGTGTTGTGTATTTGTGTGTGTGTGTGTATTTGTGTGTGTGTGTGTATTTGTGTGTGTGTGTGTATTTGTGTGTGTTGTGTATTTGTGTGTGTGTGTTATTTGTGTGTGTGTGTATTTGTGTGTGTGTGTATTTGTGTGTGTGGTGTATTTTGTGTGTGTGTGTATTTGTGTGTGTGTGTATTTGTGTGTGTGTGTGTATTTGTGTGTGTGTGTGTATTTGTGTGTGTGTGTGTATTTGTGTGTGTGTGTATTTGTGTGTGTGTGTATTTGTGTGTATATTTGTGTGTGTGTGTGTATTTGTGTATATTTTAACACCAGTCACCTCCCACCAAGGTAAGGTAATAATGCTATAATCATTCAGTAACAAGTCATACCAGTGTGTGCAGACCTGTAGCTACAAATATTAACATTTTATTTCAATGATATCTTAGGAGTGTCCCATTACTTCCTTGCCTTTTTCTTCCCTCGTATATTTTTTTGTTAACATGGAATTCATCCAGCCATCTGATCCCATCTAAATTGCTATTTTTTTTTTCTTTCAGGCGTAACCCATAATCCCCACAGTGCTTTCCATGTTATTTCTAACCCAAATTACAACCTACCCTTTGTCTTGATTATAACTAAAAGTTTTGCTTGTATAATATAAACCCTGAAGCTTAAGATTCATCAATATTTTGTATTTTTTTTTTTAAATGTATGAAAATGATCTTGCAATTTGTAAATGTTCATGGGGGAATAGAAGAAACAATTTTGTAGTATTTCTATTTTTTGTGCTAATAGCTATTAACATTCGCATATGCAACCCTAAACAAAATTAAATACACTTTGACAAATCCGTAATGCATATAAAATCATAATGCAAGTCTGAAGTAGTTGAGAGAAATCAAAAGCTTTGTTATCTTGACATGTTGACATTCCTAGCTATTATAAATATGCTCAAATAAACTTGTGAAACTCCATTGAATAAGCAATTGTATATTAACAAAGGTAGTTATAAACCATAAAGGAATGTAATGTTAAATTCGTATAAGAACTATGAAATTGTAATACGTAAAATATTTTTTGCACCTAATCGAGACTTGTGGAGAGAGAATTTTATTTGACATGATATAAGCTGTATTCTACATTTACAAAAGATGGTTTGTGCTATACCAGTAAATATATTGATTACAGTTTTCCCACTGTAACTGATAGAATAATGCCTTGTTCTTCTTTTCAGTGTTCACACTTTTTCTTTTCCATATCTTTACCTTAACAATTTTTTCTTCCAACAACAACATCGTATCTACATCTTTACTAACATCATACCATTCCTATCTGATGCTGACACTTGTCTCTCTCTGTATTACAGTTCAGTGCTCTAATTGCTTTTCTTCAGTAGTTAGATATGCCTGTGCTATCCCTCTTTTTTTGGTGTCGTTGTCAAAAGATATATTGACCATTGTTGGTATTACTGTTGGACATATTTATATCCTCCATGTTTTGCACTAGTTAAAAACTTCTGTATACGTACATAAATTGGTGCTTTGTATCTGTTATGCCAAACACTCACCTGCACTTGATTGTTTGAATCTGTGGTCTTTTGATTCCAAACACCCGGTGTCTTGTCACGATGTTTGTGCCTGTTAATGCCCTGGGTTGCGTCATGCTGGAATGTTGCATGTGACAGGAAGGGGAGGTGGGCAGCGACATGGTGGCAGTTCCTTCCCGTGACTCGGACAACTCATCGGGTCACTCTACTCCTGAAGTTCATCACCGCGGTGTTGTCAGCTCCCACCCACAGGGGGCAGGAGGTGGTTTAGATCCAACTCGGCCACATTCTCAGGCTCTTGACAATCCTCTGTATGCCAATCTGGAGCATGTGAGTAAGCTTAGCATGTATGGGAGTTTTATCCCAAAATATTTTTGCAGATAATAATGGTTTGTTCATACTTTATGGGTTTGTAGTCTATTTAAAACCAGAAAGATTTTAGCAAGTTTTTCTTTCATTTTATTTTACTTGTATGTACTTTGCCCTTAATGCAAATGTTTACATGTTAGTCTCCAGGTTATGATAGTTAGCAATAAGTAATTGAAGTAGTGACTGTTTCAAGATAGTTGGCAATAAGTAATAATGTAGTGAATATTAAGATTGAGACAGTAACTGGGGTAAGTTCAACAGATGAATAAAGTTTTAGTATTTATGGTGTTCTTAATATCATTAGTACAAAACGACAGATAATTCTTGGCTGAATGGGTTGATTAGTTGCTGTAACATTACTTTGGTCTTAAGAAATAGCATGCTACTGACCCACAACAGATTTATTAATAGTTTCTTTGAAAATTAGAGCATATAAATTCAGAATGACAGTTTAACAATATTTACAAGGCTCATTCAGAATTTTATTGTTTTTCCGTGTTGTTACTATAGTGTTTGTTATTATTTATGAATACTCTTTTATTTTTTAAATATCCCCTAATTCATTAGTTTCCCCAATAAGGCATGACCCAAAGGAGAAAACATTGGTTGTTACTTATTATCTTTCTAAAACTGCAAACAATATAATTTTATATTTTTGTAAGTACTGTATATGGTAAAAGATTTACAAATTTGCACTTAAAATACCCTAATTTTCTAGAAGCCAGTATTTTAAAAGATTGCCCTCTGGTATGAATTTTTGAGAAATTGACAACTAAATTGGCATACACACAGGCCTCACTTTACAGTGCTTGTCTAATAGGGACATTTCAAATTATACTCAAAATTTCTTTTATATGGCTCCTAATTCACTGTTACAGCATCTGTGTGCTACTGTTTGTTTACATCCTTCATGGGTCCACACTCTCAATTATGTCTGGAAACTTCCAAAGTTTCAAGGTTTTTAAAAGTTTTGTATTTTATATACAGCCTCTCCTCACTTAGCGATGTATTCTTTTACCAACCACTCGGACTTACGACCAGCTCTCCAACCAGCATGCAAGCCTAAATAATGTATATTAGAGCTTATTATTCTGTTCATTACAGTATACATTACACTACTGTATAAACATTTAAAAATATACCAGAAATGTTATAAATGGTGCAAAGATGACATTAAAGATGGTTGACGCAAATCTACTACCAGTGTAATATGCTCCTCGCTTAATGCCCAGTTCACTTTCCAACCTACTCATAGGAATGGAACCCTGTCAAGTAAGAAGAGGCTGTATACTTTTTATGTTAAAATGACATCTAAGGGTAGTTATAAGAGGAATCATAAGGCTCTTACTCTAAATGTAAAGTTAGAAATGATTAAACTCCGTAAACAAGGTATGTCTGTGGCAGAGATACTACCCAGATACTACTGATACTTTTTCTTGTGTATACCTGTACCTAAATAAGCTTGCACACTGTGCTGGCATGCAGGTACATTAAAGTCACTATTTGAAGATAAGAACATGAGAAAGGAGGAACACTGCAGCAGGCCTGTTGGCCTATACTAGGCAAGTCCTTTACAATTCATCCCACTAACAAAACATTTGCCCAACCCAATGCTACCCATATTGAGCATATTAACAATAATAATAATAATAATAATTAATAATTAACAATAACAATAACCCCTTCTCCTGTATAAATTACTGAATTTAAAAAAAACTTTAGTTTTTCTTTTTGGGCCAGTCTGTCTCGGTGGGATACGGCCGGTTTGTTGAAATAATAATAATAATAATTGGTGGGGTGCTTTAAATGTCATAAATCACTTTATTATAGATATTTTCATTATATCCATCTATGACTTTTATTTTATTTTTTCAAAATTACATATAAACACGCTACATGTCATATAATCATGATACAGACAACCATACTAAAACAAATTAACATCATTGTGAGGTGTGGTAGCTAAGCAGGCATAAATGAGTGTATGACAATTACTATAACATGTTTCCTCTAGTACAACAGAGAAACTGTGTATAGTATTACTGGCAGGTAACTGTAGAAAAGCATTCATTTTATATGCATTCACTCGTAGCATCGTTTTGCATTCTACTGCACCTACACGAAGACAACTTTTACACAATGTAAGGTAGTTTGTATTTTGGGGTAAGATGCTTCAAAAATGTATGCACAATGAGAGATGAACTCGTATCAGTGGCAGGTGCATAGGTATGAAATACATGTAGATCTGATCACGACCCAGAACCCTGACACAAGATGCACATTCATGGAGCATCCTCCCAATGGTGATTTGAAAGTGAAACTGGGTGTATTGCCATGAGTGCTCTGCATCTGGAAACTATTGAAAGTTTCAAGTGTTTTAAAGTTTTTGTCATAAGGCTCTTGCTTTAACCCTTGGACTGTTTCAGCCGTATATATATACGTCTTAAGAGCCAATGTTTTCGATGTATTAATATGCCAAAATTCTAGTGGCTTCAAATCAAGCAGGAGAAAGCTGGTAGGTCCACATGTGAGAGAATGGGTCTGTGTGGTCAGTGTGTGCATTATAAAAAAAAAATCCTGCAGCACACAGTGTATAATGAGAAAAAATAAACTGACCATGTTTTTGGATTAAAACACTGACTGAGGTGTATTTTTGTATACATAGTATTTATGGTTGTATTCTCATTTTTTTTTTAGTCTCATTTGATAGAATAGAAGACATATTACAGAAATAGATGATTTTGATTTGTTTCACGATGAAAAGGATCTTGAAATCGAGCTCAAAGTAGCAGAAATGTTCGATTTTTGCCTAATGTTCTTTCACAAGTGCGCTGATATTTTTGTACCATTTTTACAATAATGGAGTAGTCTGCATAATAGTAAATATTTTTTGTGAGAATAAAAATTCAAAATGGAGATGTGACTAATAAACAGAGAAAATGTTATTTTAGTGCCAGGAATGTGTGTCTTGTTTATTCTGGACCCTATTTTGAAATTGTTTTTTTTTTTGTGTGAAATTAGCCAAATTGCCAATTTCTGACCACACTATTGGGTAGTTGAAATTGGTAAATGGGCGGTTTCTTGTACTCAGTCGATAGAACAAATGGAGTTCTAAAAAAGAAATAGCTACGAGTTTGGTTGACTGGAACAGTGGTATTGGCTGCAAATAGGGGTCAAAATGGCCGAAATTGCTTGTGTATATATCGCTGAGATCACTACCTTTTGCAAGAGTGCAGTTCCGTAAGTTTTTCATGAAATTTCATACTTTTGGCGTTACCACCAGGAAAAGATTTTGTCTTCTCATAAAATATTTTTTTTTTTTTTTTTTTTTTTTTTTTTTTTTTTTTTTTTTTTTTTAATAATAATAATTTGTGACACAGACACATTTCAGGATTTGGGATTGCGACAGTCAAAGGGTTAAATGAGCTCTAAGGAGAAAATGTTGCAGGAAATTATAAGTGCTACACTAGTGAATGCTAAAGTTATATTGCTGACATGAAAAAACTTGCTGGTATAGATTAAAGATCAACCCAGTCAAAAAGTGCCTTTAAACCGAGCCATTATCTAGTCCAGTGCCTTAGGAATTAATTCTACAAAGGCTGAGAGAGGCGAGGAAGCTTCTGAAGATAAATTTGAAGCTAGCAGAGGCTGGTTTCATCTCATCCTGAATTCCTACAATAAATAATACTCTTCTCTCGCTCTACGTTAAGCTCAAAAAATATTTTAAGGTAAATAATGAGTGTACTGTGTATGCATTTTACTTTGTTTTCAGACCTAGTTCTGTTGCTTGCTTAACATATGATAGTGTAAACATGTTCTCGGGCAATTATATGCACTTAAGTCAAAAATAAAAAAAAAATTTATGGCAATTTTTGCTTAATGACTGTAGCCTAGAACCTAAGTTGCCGTATAAGCAGGTCCCTAATTTATACTTATGGATAGCACACTTGTGCAACTCCAAATAAAATTGAGTTTTATTTGCATTAATTCTCTATACATAGACAAATTAGTCACTGGTAGGTCAGAAAATGTGGGGTCTGGCACATAAAGGGATAGAGGCATCTTAGGACATCACCTGCGTAAAATTAAAAAATGTACGGAAACTTAAGACTCGTCTTGTAGAATAGGTACAGTACTTTCAACATACAGTGGAAGGCTGTTCGAGTACCGAATGAATTTTCCTAACCAGTTTTCTTTTTTGTTGGCTGTTACCACTAATATTCTTAGGCCCCATGGTGACTTATTTATACAAATAATATAAAAAAAAAAACAAAAAATGCCAAAAAAAAAAAAAAATGAAATAGTTTACAGCAAAGTTCTGGCAGGTCATGTTTGGCCAAGTGCTTAGCAAATGGTCAACTACTGAGTGGTGTTTTTTTTTTCTTTTCTTTTATATTTATATACAGTGGAACCTCTACTTGCGAGCGTGTCCACGTGCGAGTTTTTCCAAATACGAGCAGTCGATGGGTCGATTTTTTTGCTTCCATACGCGAGCAAAATTTCCACAAGCGAGCAGACCTCAAGGCAGGTTCCTTGACACTGGTGAGGGGCTCTTGCTCTTGATCTTGGGAATTGTATCTCATTTGTTTATCAGACTATCTTATTGAAACTTGAGCAATGTATGATGGAAAGATGCTTCTTAATGTACACCAAAAATGAAAGAAATCTAAGCATAAATAATGGAGCTCACTTCTCAGCAATTAGCCACCCCTTTGCAGTAATTTCGAATGGTTTTTATGGTTGTATTCTCGTTTTTTTGGTCTCATTTGATAGAAAGGAAGATATATTACAGAAATAGATTTTTTTTTTTTTTATCACACTGGCCGATTCCCACCAAGGCAGGGTGGCCCAAAAAAGAAAAACTTTCACCATCATTCACTCCATCACTGTCTTGCCAGAAGGGTGCTTTACACTACACTTTTTAAACTGCAACATTAACATATGATATGATTTTATTTGCTTTCACGATGAAAAGTACCTTGAAATAGAGCTCAACCTAGGAGAAATGGTCCATTGCTTGGCTGTTTCAGAGTAAACAAATGACATCACTGTCCATTCCAACATGCAGTTGTGAATGGGTTGACATTATTTATTCAATTGCAGTAAGGACTAACAGTAAATCTTATATTTTTTGTGTGAATAAAAATTACAAATTATTTATATAATAATAATATGTATATGTATAATAATAATACGTATAATATATTAATATACAATAATAATAATATGTATAATAATAATACATATATAATAATAATGTACTACATATAATAATTATAATAAACGGCTTCAAAAGGTCACTAGATGGCAGTGTTTACCACAACAAAGAGGGAGCAGTTGTGGCTGCCTTCACCTGTTACATAATGACACATTTTATTCATTCTAGAGTATATATCATGTTTCTATGTTATTTATATTGTTTGTTATGTCATATTAGATGAACTGTGATATATAAATAAGCCATATTGATGATGATAGTGAAATTATTCATGAAGTATTTTGCTCGGTCTCCAGACAAACTCTCGTCCACCGCCGACACCGCCCATACCACTACATGAATGAGATATTTTACTAATTTTAATGTATATATCAGGTTTCTATGTTATTTATATTGTTTATTATGTCATATTAGATGAAGTGAGATAGATAAATAAGCCAGAGAGTTGATATTAGTGAAATTATTGAAGTATATGCTGTATATGCGGGCCCTGCATATACAGCAGGCTAGATTCCGGGCTATTTATGTGAAGTGGAAATCGCTGTAAAGTAAATCATAGGCTTTTTTCAAAAGCTTGGTAACATATTTACACTATCATATATTAAGTGAGCTAGACCTAAAAAATACATAGCACACACTTTATTTAACCCTTTGACTGTTACAACCCCAAATCCTGAAGTGTCTTCTGGTGTTGCAAAATATTTGAAAAAAAAAAAAAAAATTTTCTTGTGAAACGATAGAGAATCTTTTCCCGATGATAATGACACCAAAAGTACGAAATTTGATGGAAAACTTATGGAATTACGCTCTCACGAAGTTAGCATCCTTCGAGACATACACACATTGGAGATTTCGCCCACTCTCAGCCCTATTTTTGGCCAATTCCACTGTTCCAGTCCACCAAACTCATAGCTATTTCTTTAGAACTCCATTTGTTCTATCAACTGAATACAAGAAACCACCCATTTACGGATTTCAACTACCGAATAAAGTGGTCAGAAATTGGCAATTTGTTCAATTTCATGCAAATTAAAAATGTCAGTTTCAAAATAGGGTCCAGAATGAACAATGCATACATTCCTGGCATTAAAATAACATTCTCTGTTCATCAGTCACGTCTCCAGGCCCGTTATAATACTCTTGCTTTCTATTTTGAATTTTTATTTATTCAAAAAATAGTAGATTAACTGTTATGCCAACTACTGCAATATTGTAATATTGCATAAATAACATGAACCCATTCGTGACTGTGTATTAGAATGGCTAGTTGAACATCGGCAAAAATTAAACATTTCTGACACTTTGACTCCATATCAAGATCCTTCTCATAGTAAAAACCAATCAAAATCACTTGTATTTCTATAATATGTTTTCCATTCTATCAAATGAGACCAAGAATACAACCATAATTACAAAAATACACCTCAAAGTCGACGTTTTAATCCAAAAACATGGTCGGAGTTTTTTTTTTTCTTGCACTGCTTGCTGCAGGATTTTTTTTGTACTGCACACACTGACCACACAGACCCATTCTCTCACTTGGGCCTACCAGCTTTCTCCTGCTTGATTTTAAGCTGCTAGAATTTTTGAGTATATATACATCAAACACACTGGCTTTTAAGACGTATATGTACGTCCAAAACAGTCAAAGGGTTAAAATATCTTTAGCTTGTAGTGAGTGGTGACTATATTTATTGTAGGAAATCTGAATAAATGTAGAATGGGTATAATTGAAAACTTCTGCATTTTTGAAATGCTGTAAAGTGGGATCCTCCTGTATTTCCACTGTTAATCTAGAGGTACTGAACTAAAGTCTCTGCAAAGTAGTAGTTTAATTCTAATTTATATGCTTTATAAAAAATTATGTGGCACTATTTATTACAGATGCAGGACAAGACCAAACCACCTGTGCCACCTCGAGGGAGTACAGGCAGCAACCGCTCTTCACGCTCTTCGTTAGATGAAGGACCTATCTATCAAAATCGTATCTCCGTTGTTCCATCTTATGGTTAGTACTGCACTAAAAACCCTTGGTAGCTAAAGTATGAATTTGGTGATGATGCACTTTTCAAGCTTTATATATATGTATATATATAAAAAAAAATATTATGGATCAAACCTGATATCCTACTCCCATTCCCAGGTAATATATAACCCCTGCAGGTTTAGCACTTCTTTTTATTTGTGCATACTGACTTTAGATCTGCTTAATTATTTTATAACAGAGGTAACACCATCAGAAAATACCTACCAGAATTACCCATCAGACAGACCAAATGGTCATCGACGTGAGTCGTCAGAAAATATGAATGGAGATGGTAAGCTCAGTTGCAGTCTATATATTTTTTGTTAGCTATCTTGCTTTATTGATCATTGAATTAACTGCATCCAGTGGCACTTTATTCATATAGCATAGACAATATGTAAAAGTTCTGTGCATTCCTGAAAAAATAGTACGTAGTTTTAATTATTTTTTAGTTAGCAAGTTTTAAAGAAAATAAATTACATGTGTTAGAGAAAATATACAATTGAGGGACTACTTAAGGCAGACTTTCATTACAAGTTACTAAGCTTATCTGGCATTTTTATAATACAGTATATGGTGATATAAGAAAAACTTCAAATATATTAACCCTTTGACTGTTTCGGCCGTATATACAGTGGACCCCCGGTATTCGATATTAATCCGTTCCTGAGAGCTCATCGAATACCGATAATATCGAAAATCGAATCAATTTTCCTCATAAGGAATAATGGAAATAAAATTAATCCATGCAAGACACCCAAAAGTACAAAAAAAAAATTTTACTACATGAAATATTAAGTTTAATGCAAAAGAATAATTACAATAACAATAAAATAATTGACACTTACCTTTAATGAAGATCTGGTGATGATTGATGGGATGGGAGGAGGGGAGAGGTGTTAGTGTTTAGAAGGGGAATCCCCTTCCATTAGGACTTGAGGTAGCAAGTCCTTTTCCGGAGTTACTTCCCTTCTTTTAATGCCACTAGGACCAGCTTCAGAGTCACTGGATTTCTGTCGCACAACATATCTGTCCATAGTGGCCTGTACCTCCCGTTCCTTTATGACATTCCTAAAGTGTTTCACAACTTTGTTAGTGTAATAGTCACCAGCATGGCTTGCAATAGCTGTGTTAGGGTGATTGTCATCAAAAAAGGTTTGCACTTTAAGCCACATTGCACACATTTCCTTAATCTTAGAAGTAGGCAACTTCTTCAATTTCTCTATCCCCTCCTCCGAAGCAGTTTCCTCAAGTGTGGCCTCTTGTTTTTGAAGATGATCTGTCGGCTCATCAGTGGTTAGTTCTTCACTGTCCTCCTCCACCAACTCTTCCACATCCTCCCCACTAACCTCCAACCCCAAGGACTTCCCCAATGCCACAATGGATTCCTCAACTGGCATAGGATTCTCAGGGTTAGCCTCCTCAACTGGCATAGGATTCTCAGGGTTAGCCTCAAATCCTTCAAAATCCCTCTTGTCTACACATTCTGGCCACAGTTTTTTTCCAAGCAGAGTTCAAGGTCCTCTTAGTCACTCCCTCCCAAGCCGTACCTATAAGGTTTATACAATTGAGGATATTAAAGTGATCCTTCCAAAACTCTTTTAGAGTCAGTTGAGTTTCTGTGGTCACTAAAGCACTTTTGAAACATAGCTTTTGTGTACAGTTTCTTGAAGTTGGAAATGACCTGCTGGTCCATGGGCTGCAGGAGAGGAGTGGTATTGGGAGGCAAAACTTTACCTTAATGAAGCTCATGTCCCCAGAAAGTCGCTCTGCCAAGTCTGTAGGATGACCAGGGGCATGGTCTAATACCAGGAGGCACTTAAGGTCTAATTTCTTTTCAGTTAGGTAATTTTTCACAGTGGGGGCAAATGCTTGGTTTTGAACCAGTCATAGAAAAAGTCCCTATGACCCTTTGCCTTACTGTTTGCCCTCCACAGCACACACAAATTAGCCTTGAGGACATTGTTTTTCCTGAACACACCCGGAGTTTGAGTGATACACCAATAAAGGCTTCACTTTGCAATCACCACTAGCATTGGCACACATGAGAAGAGCAAGCCTGTCTTTCATAGGCTTATGTCCTGGGAGTGCCTTTTCCTCCTGAGTAATGTAGGTCCTGCTTGGCATTTTCTTCCAAAACAGGCCTGTTTTGTCGCAATTAAACACTTGTTCAGGTTTCAGTCCTTCACTGTCTATGTAATCCTTGAATTCCTTCACATATTTTTCAGCTGCTTTTTGGTCCGAACTGGCAGCCTCACACTATGTATGCCACCACGATTCTTAAATCTTTCAAACCAACCTTTGCTGGCCTTAAATTCACTCACATCACCATTAGTTGCAGGCAACTTCTTTACCAAATCGTCATGCAACTGCCTAGCCTTTTCCCAAATGATCGCTTGAGAGATGCTATCTCCTGCTAACTGTTTTTCATTTATCCACACCAATAACAATCTCTCAGCATTTTCTAACACTTGCGGTCGCTGTTTTGTAAACACAGTTGCACCTTTTGCAAGAACAGCTTCCTTGATTGCCGTTTTCCTGGTCACTATAGTAGAGATGGTTGATTGGGGTTTATTATACAACCTAACCAGCTCCGACACACGCACTCCACTTTCATACTTTGCAATTATCTCTTTCTTCATTCATAAGTCATTAGTGACTTTTTCCAAGGTTGGCACAAGCTTTCTTGGGCCCATGGTGACTTGTTTTGCAGAAACGAGCACCAAACACAGCGATAATATGGATAATACGGAATGTACCGAATGTATCCTTAGATGCGCGCACACTGGCTGGCTTGTAAACACTGGCACACACGGGGCAGTTCAGGCCACACGTGGACACGTCTCGTACGAATCGTATTGAATACCGGGTTTTCAATCGAATACAGAGGAAAATTTTTTGCAATATAATGCATCGAATACCGCATTTATCAAATACCGATGCCATCGAATACCGGGGGTCCACTGTATACGTCTTACGAGCCAGTGTTTTGGACGTGCAGTGGACTCGTTTTTCGTAATTAATCCATTCCAGAAAGTGTGACTGTTTCCGAAATTGATGACTTTCAAAACCATTTTCCCCATAAGAAATAATGTAAATACAGTGAAACATATAAGTGAACAGTATTTAGATAAGGCTAAAGAGGTCTTTGTGGCATTTATGGATTTGGAAAAGGCATATGACAGGGTGGATAGGGGGGCAATGTGGCAGATGTTGCAGGTGTATGGTGTAGGAGGTAGGTTACTGAAAGCAGTGAAGAGTTTTTACGAGGATAGTGAGGCTCAAGTTAGAGTATGTAGGAAAGAGGGAAATTATTTCCCAGTAAAAGTAGGCCTTAGACAAGGATGTGTGATGTCACCGTGGTTGTTTAATATATTTATAGATGGGGTTGTAAGAGAAGTAAATGCGAGGGTCTTGGCAAGAGGCGTGGAGTTAAAAGATAAAGAATCACACAAAGTGGGAGTTGTCAGTTGCTCTTTGCTGATAACACTGCTCTTGGGAGATTCTGAAGAAAAAGTTGCAGAGATTGGTGGATGAATTTTGGTAGGGTGTGCAAAAGAAGAAAATTAAAAGTGAATACAGGAAGAGTAAGGTTAATGAGGATAAAAGATTAGGTGATGAAAGATTGGATATCAAAATTGGAGGGAGAGAGTAGGGAGCAGGTGAATGTATTCAGTATTTGGGAGTGGACATGTCAGCGGTTGGGTCTATGAAAGATGAGGGAATCATAGAATTGATGAGGGGAAAATGGTGAGTGGTGCACTTAGGAGTCTGTGGAGACAAAGAACTTTGTCCTTGGAGGCAAAGAGGGGAATGTATGAGAGTATAGTTTTACCAACGTTCTTATAGGTGTTGAAGCAGGGTGATGAATGTTTTCAGCGGGAGAAGGCTGGAGGCAGTGGATGTCATGTCTGAGGGCAATGTGTGGTGTGAATATAATGCAGAGAATTCGTAGTTTGGAAGTTAGGGAGGAGTGCGGGATTACCAAACGTGTCCAGAGGGCTGAGGAAGGTTGTTGAGGTGGTTCGGACATGTAGAGAGAATGGAGCGAAACAAGTGACTTCAAGAGTGTATCAGTCTGTAGTGGAAGGGAAGGGGGGGTAGGGGTTTTGGGCCCAGAAAAGGTTGGAGGGAGGGGGTAAGGAGGTTTTGTGTGCGAGGGGCTTGGATTTCCAGCAGGCATGCGTGAGCGTGTTTGATAGGAGTGAATGGAGACAAATGGTTTTTAATACTTGACGTGCTATTGGAGTGTGAGCAAAGTAACATTTATGAAGGGGTTCAGGGAAACCGGCAGGCCGGACTTGAGTCCTGGAGATGGGAAGTACAGTGCCTGCACTCTGAAGGAGGGGTGTTAATGTTGCAGTTTAAAAACTGTAGTGTAAAGCACCCTTCTGGCAAGACATTGATGGAGTGAATGATGGTGAAAGTTTTTCTTTTTCGGGCCACCCTGCCTTGGTGGGAATCGGCCAGTGTGATAATAAAAAAAATATAACAATTAATCCGTTCCAGACACCCGGAAGTATTGAAACAAAAATTTTTTTTACATGAAATATAGATGTAGTACATACACAATACAATGGGACATGATGAATGAAACACTAACAGCATAACGCTTACCTTTATTGGTGATACTTCTTAGTGTATGGAAGACCGGAGGAATGGAGAGATTGGATTATTTACTGTTTAGAAGGGGAATCCCCTTCCATCAAGACCTCAGGTACCAAGTCCTTTTCTGGGGTTACTTCTCTTCTCTGTTTCTTAATGCCACTAGGACCAGCTTGAGAGTCACTGGAGCTCTGTCTCGCAAAAAAAAAGTGTCCAGAGAGCTCTGTTTCTGGCATCTCTTTAAAACTTCCCTAAAGTGGGCCAAGACTTTGTCACTGTAGAAGTTGCTGACATGGGTTGCAACAGCCTTGTCAGGGTGATGTTGCTCTATAAATCTTTCCATCCTCCTCCACATTTCAAAAATCTCTTTAATTTCTGAAGAAGGCAACTTCTTCCATTTTTCTTCCTCTAAAGCAATATTCTGAGCTGCGGTCTGTTGCTGTTCCAGCTGAAGCTCCTGCAGCTCGTCATTGGTTAGCTCTTCGTTGTGGTCCTCCACCAACTCTTCCACATCCTCCAAACTCGCATCCAACCCCATGGAACTCCCCAATGCTACAATAGATTCCACAACTGCCATAGGCTCGTCAGGGTCAGCCCCAAATCCTTCAAAATCCCTCTTGTGGACACAATCTGGCCACAATTTTCTCAAAGAGTTCAAAGTCCTGGTAGTCACTCCCTCCCAAACCT